CGGAGCCCAGGGATCCAACCCCCTGCCCAGGTCTCGCCCCACGGCGGGCCCCGCCTGCTTCCACGAAGCAGGTCCAGAGACCACCCCCACTCCGGCCTCCTCGCCCTAGACCCCCTAAGGACACACACCCAGGATGGGTGACAGGACCGATGGCAGACACACGGACGTTCAGGGCCAGCAGCATCCGCACCTTTATCCGCACTCTAGGCCGGGCTGGGCACAGTGCGCCTGGCCCCGGGGACACCACTGTATCACTATAAAACCCAGAGGAAACAAGGAACAAGTGCAAGTCCGGGGAGAGGGGCCAATGTCACGCAGAGAGGTCACTGTTATCAAAACGCTCCTGGTCGTACACTTCAGCCACCACCTTGCGGCCAGCAAACCAGCGCCCATTGAGGGCCTGGATGGCCTTATGAGTCTCGGAGGCTATGGAAAACTCCACAAAGATCTTGACAATGATTTCCGCATCTTCCTCCTCGCCTTGTTTCTCTTGGTAGATGATGACGCGGTTCACGGCCCCGAACTTGCCACACTCCTCTGTCACCTCCCCTTCCAGGTCATCATCGATGTCCTTGGGGTCCACCATGTTGCGCAGAACCATCACTGTGGACTGTGGGGCCGGGGCGAGGGGAGACAGCTGAGTGCTGCGGCCCTGCCCCCTACCTCCCCCACCTCCCCGCTGGCCACCACCCCACCCCTCTGCCTACCTCCTGTTTGCGGAGCAGCTTCTGCATCACCATGTGGCGGGCGCTGCTGCCCGAGATGCTCATGTGCTCCTGCTCGCTCAGCATCTCTGGCCGCTCTGACTCGGGAAACAACTCCTCTTCTTCCTTCTCCTTCTTGGGCTCCAGGAGACCCAGCGTTGGAGGGCTGGCCAGGATGGGGTTCACCACTCCCACTGAGGGGATGGTGACCGGAATAGGAGGACGGGCTGGGGTCACACCTGCAGGAAAACCACTCAGGTCCATCAGTCACTCCCTACCACCCTCCTTCCCAGAAAGGCACAGAACTGACCAGCCATGGCCTCCCCTGGGCTCAGAGGGTTTCAGCCAGACCAACAGGGCCAGGCAGCTGAGGGCAGTGAGCCTAGAGATGCCAGGACAGGAGAAGAAAGGATCTGGTACCACTTGGACTCACCTGTGATGACTCCAGGTGCCTGGGCAGCCATGACAGCCTGGGGCAAAGTCCCCAGGGGCTGGGCCAGGGTCAGTGCTGGGGACACCAGTCCAGGTGTGCCCAGGGTACCCAACACTGCTGCTCCGGCCACTGCTTCCTGCAACCCAAAAGGTCACCATGCTCAGTCCCTGGTCTGGCTACTCAAGACCACCTTGAATCAGTCTCCAAGGAATCAGGGCCCAGCCCGCCCACCCTCAAGCTGACACAGATGTGTGGGCCCTCACCTGAGCTGTGATCTTGGCAGTGGCTGCAGCAGCTGCCACAGCAGCGGCAGGTGGGAGGCCTCCAGGCGTGGCCGGTGTGAGTAGGGGCATGGGCGGTGTGACGGCCTTGCCCACCCGCAAGTACTGGCCACCGAGATCAAAGAGGTTCATGGAGGACACAGCATCTTGGGACGACTGGGCCTTCTCGTACTCTGTGGGCAGTAGCAGCAGTGAGCAGGGCCAGCCCCAGCCTCAGGTGGCCCCCATCCCGCCTCAGCCGCCCCAGCTCACCAATGAAGCCATAGCCCTTGTGCTTGCCAGTTGTGGGGTCCCGGGCCAGTGTGCAAGACTTGATCTTGCCAAAGGCCTCAAACACACTCTTAATGTCATCGTCTGAGAGGTCCTGGTGCACAGAGGCCACGTAGATGCGGTTGAAGGCCCGTGCCTCCTCAGCCAGCTGGTCTATGATGGGCTGGGCCTGCCCTATGTTGCTGGGTCTGCCCACCTGGGGAAGAGTGGGTGAGATGGAGAGACCTGTCAACCCAGGCCCGGCCACAAAAGACTTCTATGGAGGGGCAGCCCTGCACGCCTGTGGGATCAAGGCCTTGGCTCCCCGCCTCACCTTGATATTCCTGCCCCCCAGCATCACCGAGTTCATCTGCTCCAAGGCCAGCTGTGCAGCTTCAGGGACCTCATACTCCACGAAGGCAAAACCCTAGACACAAGGACACACCTGTCAGGCTGCGCGAGCCCAGGGGTGGGGGCGAGCCCTAAGTGGCCAGGGCAGACCAAGCCTGCTGACCTTGTGCTTCATGGTGACAGAGTCCCAGGACATGTCGATGCTCTTGATGGGACCAAAGGGGGCAAAGGCCTGGCGGATGGTGTCCTCCCCCAGCTCGTAGTAGATGGAGCCCACATAGACACGGCACATGATGGCCAGCGCCCGCTGCCGCTGAGCCGCCATCTGCAGCAGGACAGAGGGGAGAGAACCGCTGGCTCGTCAGGGGCGGCAGGAGGCTGGGCAGCCCACTCCCCTCCTGGCCCACCCACTCAGCCCTGCTGTGGGGAGGGCTCCCCACATGGCAGGGAGGTGCGGGCTCCATCCCTGCAGTCAGGGTGAGGGGGTCGCAGGACCCCGCCACCCAAAGAAGGCAGGCCAGGCCCAGCGGCAGGACAGGACGCACCCCAGCCCGCCAAGGTCCCAGGCAGACTGTGGCAGCAAAGCCGACAGATGGTCAGGAGGCAGGGCTGCGCGCCCTCCCACCCAGACCACCCCTCCAGTCTGGGGGCTGGGTATCCCAGGCTGGGCTGGGAGATCTTCCCACCGTCCCAGCCAAGGACCATGACAGAAGAGGGAAGGAGGAGCCATCCAAGCTGGAGGGACCCACTGGTTTGGTGGCCAGAAGAGAGGAGGTCAGAAGACAGGGCAGCCACTGCCCAGAAGAGACCCCAGGGGAGGAGCTGAGGAGCCAGATGGGGGCTCCCTGAAGAAAGAACGAGGAGCAGCTGCTCATGCGGGGCCAACTCCGGTAGGGGCTCATGCTGC